ACCGGAAAATCTCCAAAAGGCAATTCAAGTCAAGAAAGACTGGACAATGTCCTGGTGGGAACAATTCCTGATAATATCCAAGAGAACATTTCGAGAGAGGCGTCGTGATTACTTTGACAAGCTCAGGCTGGTTCAATCCCTCGGAATTGCAGTCCTGCTAGGCCTTCTGTGGTGGCAATCTAATAGTTCAACGGAGGCTCAACTCCGGGATCAGGCAACATTTCCATCACTTCATTTAAATATATAACATTGGTTTAGTTGCATTTTCTACTCTATCAATATGAACTTGCTTCCACGTGCCTTTCATTTTAGGTCGGTTTGCTCTTCTACATTTGCATTTTCTGGACATCTTCGTCACTTTTCGGGGCAGTATACGTTTTCCCATTCGAAAAAATTTATTTGGTGAAAGAAAGGAAAGCAGACATGTACAGATTAAGCGTGTACTATGCTTGTAGCACTCTGTGTGACATGGTGGCACATGTATTCTACCCTACATTTTTCATGGCCATTGTGTATTTCATGGCTGGCTTCAAGAGAACCGTTCCTTGCTTCTTCCTCACCCTATTTACAGTTCTTCTGATTGCTGTTACTAGCCAAGTAATCAACCAATTTTCAAATTTTAAGATCCCTTTGATCTCTTTTTATAGCTTTGAGTCTTTGAAAGATGAGTTAATTTGTTTAGTGCAATTAGGGAGCAGGAGAGCTATTTGGAGCTGCAGTTTTGAGTGTTAAAAGGGCTGGAATGATTGCTTCATTAGTGTTAATGTTGTTTCTTCTTACGGGAGGTTATTATGTTCAGGTACTCTCATTTTCTATCTATGTTATACACACTCTTCACTTTATCCCAACGAACTTGTACCCTACATTTATTAGGCACTTTAAGATATATAGTAATATGTGTTGAATACTTGATTTTGAGCCGATGTAACTGATATAGGCTATGATGATGAAACTTTACTTATTCGTATATGTACAAAGCTCAAATTCTGATTATCCAGAAATTTGGCCTTTTTTGTCTGTGTTGCAGCACATACCCAAATTTATGCAATGGATGAAGTACTTGTCCTTCATGTATTATGGCTTTAGGCTTCTCCTAAAAGTGCAGTACTCTGGAGAAGAATTATATGAATGTGAGAGCAAAGGGGGCTGCCGGACACTGCAAAGTTCACCTACGTTTGACACGGTGAACCTGAGTGGTGGCCTGCAAGAGGTCTGGATTTTGCTGTCAATGGCGCTTGGTTACCGCATCTTCGCTTACTTTTGCCTCAGAAAGCGGATCAATGCCTGTCAAATCTGAATATAGATTGAAAACATTTCTCCAATATGTTGTGCAAATTTGATCTAGGTTTGAAGTATTCTATATTTTCCATTAGGCTGCTCCAAAATGATCAAGATTGACGTCAATGGATTTCTCCCACTTTCTTTCTGTGTCTCATGTGTAATAATTTGCCCATCATTAAATTTGAATTTGATCATGATGAAAGTTCTGGTATCCTTCCTTTTCATACTAAATTATTAAAGCGACTTTAGTACATGATTGTGGATCACAGTTGGTAAGGCAGGATTTTTGCAGTAGGTTTACCTTGTTGATAGTGAGAATGAAGGAACACAACAAACTACAAGAATGTCAAGCAGTTTTGATTCTCCATCATCATCTGCATATATAGTGCAATTGCATGCGTAATAGCTTGATTGAAATTTGGAAATTACATGGGATTCTTCCTCCTAGAGTTTGTTAATTGTAAATTCCATAATTCCTGCATGCTTCTTTCACACTTACATTTATATATAAGCAAAGTAACATGGTTACTTAATTAAAGTGTGTATCTTTTCCGTAAAAAAGAAGAAGTATATATCTTGGGCTTAATTTGAAGAAAAAAAAAAAACCGCTGGAACATTCAATGCAATCATGGAAAAGACTGTATTTTAGATTTGCAATTCATAGGTAAATGATCTACCCCTTTTTTTTTTTTTTTTTTTTTTTTTTTTTAAAAATGTAAAAGAAAAAGTTCTGAACTTTACAAAAGGGATTGAGGCTGACAACCACAGACCATTCAAACTGCATATTTTTCTGTTTGTCGCCTCTTTGTTGGATCCTGATTGGTCCTATCTCCTTCTATTTCTCCTAGAAAACTGCATTTTTCCTCTTCTCAGCCACAGGATAACTGTCTATCCAGCTATGGAGTTAGTGCCATATTCAACTGACCCAGATATGAAATCGGCCTGTTCTTCTCTTCCATGGCAAGATATGTTCCGATCTGCCTCAATCCGCCGGCCTTCTCCAACCCCAGGTGAGAACAATGCGTCTCCGCCCCAGCCCCAGCCTCAGGCTCGGAATTCCATCGATCCAGATAAAAGATCTACCCTTTCCGGTGACCCTGAGGTGAGGCTTGCTCTGTACATAGCCATGGCTCATGCGGGTCTTGCTCTCTCTATATTCATTATATATGCTGTGTGTAAGCTTCTGCAACAGTATCTTAGATCAATTCAATGGGCGATCTTGTGTTCTATTCCTTTAAGAGGTATTCAGGAGACCCTTGTGCATTTCTGGAGTGAACCCTTGAAGTTGGGACTCACCGAGACAATTCTGGCTGTCCCTGTTGCTGTTTTTAATGCTTTCATTAGTACCCTTGGGGATATTGAGATTGTTTTCTTGAGGGTTTTTCTTAAAAAATCGAAATTGAACAAACGCAGAAGTGGATTTTCAAAGTTAGTCCGGTGGCTAGTCTCATTTGGGGTTTTTGTCATTGCATATGAGAATATTGGTGCTATTGGGTCACTGGTAATTCTTGGGTTAGGGTTTTTATTTAGTGCTAAAAATGTAGATTCTACATTGTCTGCTGTTACATCTTTCAAGGGTACTACTGGTTACAGGAGGATTGCAATTAGTGCAATTTTCACGCGTGGGATATTGAAGAGGTTAAATACCATTGTGGCAATTGGGTTGATATTTGTTATGATTGTGGGGTTTTCTGCTGGAGTTGTATTCTTTTCGTATAAGATTGGTATTGAGGGAAAAGATGCAGTGATCTCATTGAAAACGCATGTGGAAGAGAGTAATTATGCAGAGAGGATTGGTGTTAAGAGGTGGATGGAGGAGAATGACGTGCCAGGAATGGTGGATAGGTACACTACCACATTCTATGAAACAGTGTCCACACAGATTGATAGTTTGGCAGCACAGTATAATATGACAGAGCTTGTGACAGGGATTAAGCATTTTGTCACAACTCCCACAGTGGATTCATCAGAGCAATCAACAGCTTTGATTAGTCCCTCTCCATACGCAGAGAAACTTTTGAGTTTGAGAAAGATGGTGAGTGACCGTGAATGGGGACAGATATATACAGAACTGGACATGATCTTCAGAGAATTCGTAATCACCAGGGAGGATTTGGTTGAGAAGGCTAAAGAGTTTGCTGTAAGAGGGATGGATGTTTCACAACAGGTGCTTGCTAGTGGTGCATCTGTTTTTGGAGTAGGTGCAAAACTCGCATTCTCCGTAGGAAATTCGATCATCTCTGGGGCAGCTGAGGTTTTCAATTTTGTGTCTCAGTTGATGGTATTCTTCTGGGTTTTGTATTACCTCATTACATCAGAGTCTGGTGGGGTAACTGAACAAGTAATGTGTATGCTTCCAATCTCCAAATCGGCAAGGATAAGATGCATTGAAGTTCTTGACAATTCCATTTCAGGTGTCCTTTTGGCTACAGTTGAGATTGCATTTTTCCAGGGCTGTCTTACATGGCTTTTGTTTAGACTATACAAAATACACTTCTTATACATGTCAACAGTACTTGCATACATCAGTGCTCCATTGCCTATCTTTCCACCTTGGTTTGCAACAATTCCAGCAGCTTTGCAACTGCTGCTAGAAGGAAGATATATACTTGCCATCAGCTTGTCCATTATTCACATTGTACTTATGGATTATGGAGCATCTGAAATTCAGGAGGATGTACCTGGTTACAATGCCTATCTCACAGGGCTTAGCATCATTGGTGGAATGACATTGTTCCCGTCTGCACTGGAGGTAACTCATAGTTATTTATACCTTTCTGGTCCTTTTCAATTTGCACTTTGATAACTTCACTAAGAAACATAACCTTGTAAATGTTAAAAACTGGGTTCAACTTTGATAATTGTTATTTTTATATAGGGATTCTAGTTAAGATTCTAGTTAAAGATATGAAGGCATTAAGGTCAGACAGTTGGAGAGATGTTAACTGTGAGTGTGTGTGTGTGTGTGTGTGGTGCATGCACTTTTCCTTGCTGACCTATAAAGAAAGTTTGATCTAATTTTCTTTTCAAATGAAATCTAATGTAGCATGCTTTTGTTTTATAAGTTCATTTCTCTCACAAAGTAATGAATCAACTAGCGTTCTTTGTAGATAAACACCTTACCATGCCTCATTTTTCCCTTTCTTTCTCCAGTCTGAACCTCAATGCATTGTTGCTCAAGATTTTGAGTTTTATATGTTGCTTCTAATTTTGATGCGGTTCTTGATCTTATATGATACCCATTGTTGGTTATTAATTTATCGACAGGGGGCCATTATGGGACCATTGATCACTACAGTTGTGATTGCTCTTAAGGATGTATATGCTGAATTTGTCCTGGATGAACCAAAGGAAAGTAAATAGTGGAATGCTTCCATCCATGTGGTGTGGTCATTGAATTTTCCAACAATTTGTTCTCACTGTGGAATGCTTCTACAACTGTTTTGGGACCTGGTGTGCATTTGCTTGGATTCTTTTTTTTTTTTGCCATCAACATTAGCTTCGATTGGTTTAAGCAAATTACAGAAATGTTCGGGGTTCAATGCATATATTATATCCATAGTTTGATTATTCACCTTTCATCAACCGTAATTCTTGTTTGTAACAATTTGATCCCTAGGGTATTCTTGTTTCTTGTTGTTTGTTTGTTAAAAAAGAAAAATTGTACATTTTCCTTGTACCTCATGTAAGATTATGAATATAGCAATTGGGGGCCTATATTGTCGCTTGCTAAATTCGTTTTATTGACTAAATGGATAATTGTTGCCTACTTTTAGAAGTAATTCTTTGTTAAGTTCACTTTGCTTTGCTTAACTTGCAAAGGCCACAAGCTTTTCTGTTACTATCAATGGATTGGTATCCACTTTGAGGACTAAAAAAAAATTTGTGAGAAATTACTCAAACAAAAATATTCAAACAAAATCGAAGGTAGTTTACAAAAGTAATCCGACAATCTTTCAAAGAGAAAGAGAAGTCCAATAAACAGTTAAAACAAAAAATGCAGGAAGCAGCCCTCAAAAAGTGGTTTACTTCTTTTCTTCTTTCTCAGCCTCTGCCGCCTCCTTCATTCTGGAACCGATGTGGCGTTCGTTCATCCGTTCCACAGGGAGCTTGTTATATGCCTTGAATGAATGACTTCATATCTACACTGACCTTCACGAGCTCAACAGAGGTCTTCTCGCCCACAATAGGCATGTATGTTGTTGAGAAAAAATTTTAATAAAATTTATATAATTTTTATACAATACTTTATTAGTTATTTTCCCCTCAAAAACTTGCCCATTAAAAACTTTCTTAATAAAGTTAATTTTATAATCAAATAAGTCATAATATCAACCCCAATTTGCACAATTTAAACTACATAACATAGTAACTAGGTAGCATTTCACTTGATCCGTCATTTGTTTCTTTAAAATATGGGCTGGCTGGGGTGCTACAGTCCTAACATCAATTTTTCCTTTTATAATTACTTGCTTTTCAAATATGAAAAATTACAATGCATTATTATAGAAACATGCAAGAAAATTAAGAAGTTGATGCAATTGCTGAAAAGCATCGAAATTTTTGTCAAAAACCAACATCAAATTCAACTTCACTCTCATTTTAATTTCCACGTAGTACAATAGGATTACAAGCAAAGTTTTAGCATTTTATGTCTGCTGTCACGGATTGGATGAGAATTATTTCATGTATTTCTGTAGGAATTTCCTGTGGAAGTCATTCCTAATTGTGTCGTTAATGAAGCGCTTTGGAGTCTTTGTTTCACCTCGAGCTTGATTCTTGAAGACAACATCATCATCCCACCTGTACCATATTAAACAGCAGCAGAATTAGGACAGCGAACAGAAGCTCACTCACAACTGAACAAGGTTTTGATTAAATAACACAAGCAGAAAGTTATGTTTTCCAGCCACTAACCTCCTTTTCACATTAAAAGATGTTGGATTGTTAAGCAGTGGGTTTCCTCGAAGAAGCTCTGCTTCTTTGGCTTTAAGCTCTTCTTCCTGCTCCTGTCTTTCCTGCATCAGCCACATGAAATTATTGACAACTTTGTACATTGCAGAATCCATAGTGGTACACTCAACCAATTATGGTCCGTACTAATTTAAAGAACCAAGGTTTATTTCTCTACAACATGTGTGACATAAGGAAGGGCAATGATAAAAAGTTTACCTTACGGAGCTGCTCCTCTGCTCTTTCCTTTTTAATTTGCTCAAGCTCAGCCAACAAAGCTTCGGTGTCATCCTCATCATCGTCATCATCAGCATCATCACTATCACCATGAATAGAAGTTGTAACAAATACCAAATAGTATCACCAACTATAATTGACTCTCTTCTAACATCAAAGAGAACAAATAACTACAGAATCAATCAAGCAAAGTTTAAGAGAAAATTCACACACTGGAGAATAAAATGGAGATGCCCTACCTTTCATCATCACTTTTGACTTCCTCATCAGAATCATCAGCATCTACACTGCGGGGAACTATTCTGTCCTCAACCTCTTTCTTTGTCCCTATAGTTAACTTAAATTAGTAAAGTACTTAAAAGATCATTAATTTGATATTGTAACCAAGGAGTTTGTGAAATTCACCTTCCAATAGAAGATGGCTTCCTTTCCTGCGATCTCTGTCATCTGCAATAACATAGTACCAAATTGAAAATAAAAACAGAAAATCTATTGCAAGCACAGAAATGAAGAAAATTCAAACAGTGCATGACATAAACTCATGACATTACGGTAGGAGGCATGTTTTTACCACTATAAGTCTTGTCCTTTGACGAGAAATGCCTCCTTTCACGCTCTTCAAGCTCCTCACGGAGGTTTCTCTTTTGTAACTCGTCCTGGGTATCCTGACCTTCTCTCCTGTATAATGGACATACATACCAATCAGATATGGAAAAATATACATATGAAACAAAAGTATAACCCATGATGTATATATCTACAAGCCTCAAGTGAAGAAAAAAGAAGCAATCCCCAATCCTTTATGAGAGCGTCCACAATAGATCAAGCCTAGGGCATTGACGTTCCAAAAGCCAGCATAACACTAACACAGGCTTCAAGCAATAAAATTGCCGAAGGAACCACGCGCTACGACAACCCTTCCATCTTCAAAATTAAACCTTTATTGCAGCATCTTTTAGTAATTCAATAATTAAATATCATATATCCGTCGAATAACAGCAATTTCCAATGCAAAGCCTCAATCTTGGACATAACGAATTGCAGACTAGACAGATAAGTAATACCAAAAGCAAGGTAAACAAATATATCCATACACATCTCTGAATTATTTTTTTAAAATTTGCATAGATTGCCAACTCCCCTATATTCATAACATTCACATCAACGCATAGAAAGAAGTACAAATACAAATACCATCAAGCAAAAGCAAAAAAGATGTACCGGGGTTTTAGCGCTGTATGAGCAGCAAGGTCTCGCGATGAATACTTCTGGGACGGGCCAAAAATTCGCGTCCCACCTTGTTCGTTGCCACCTTTGGCTGGTGCCCATGTCGGTCGAGCTGCAGTCGTCATAATAGGTTACCTGCACAATAAAAGGCAACAAACACATTCAATTGAAATATGAGCTTGAGTAATTCAAGAAACACCAACACCAAATTGGGGTTCGCTCCAATAATTCGTACAATCATCGATTTGCTTCATACCCATCAACGAAAACAAGAAATTTGACGAACAAAATCATCGGTTCTTCATCTTTCTAATAGCAACCCCCCAAAAAAAATAAATAGATAAGAAAAAAATTAGGGTTTTACCGTCCGAGAAAGATCGTCAATTCTTCGATGAGACTACCAGAGCAATCTCTTTTGGGCTTATTACGAGTTTTTGAGTCGGTGTGGTGGTTCGGGTTCGGGTTCAATGTTTCGGGTAGTGGATACCATGTGTAGGCCTAACAAGCAGTGGATATGAGTGGCACACCATGAATTCGCAAGGCCTGGTCCATTGTAACTCAGTTTTAAAGTCAGGCCCATCTCATTTATGGTAATACAAAATTATTATCGTTTCAATCTCATATAATATTATAAATTTATTTTTTTTAATTAGTCATATAATGAAAGTTAACTATCTCTTATTTTTTATCTCACCTCATCCGTATTTCCTGTAATTCGAATTCATAATTTTTTATTTCTAACGAAAAAAATGATTACTGAATTATTTAGATTGTTGACGATATTATAAATTTATAATATAATATATCTTTATATAATTTTAAAAATCAATATGTGATATTATATATATACTTATTTAATATTATATTATATTTTATTTAATATCACTTACAATTATAGATTTATAATGTTTTGTAATATTATAATTATATTAGTGTCAATTATTATATTCTATTCAAATCACAACCTTTAGACCCAGCAATATAATACCACTAAGTAGCTACCTTTTTTTTGTACTTAATAATAATATTTAAAGCACTGAAGAATTAAGCTTGAAAAGTCCGACGATGAATGATGGAAAAAAACATCTTGGTACCTTCATCTTATCTAAGGGAAGGAAGTAGGGTATGTCCACGTTTACATGGTGTCAATAATGGGTTAAAGGCAGACATAAGCCCATCTCCAAGCATTGAAACTTCGACGTGGTATTGAGTATGAGCTAATCCTTATCTTTTTCTTTGATTCTTCAGGAAGACAAATGAAATAAAATAAAATAAAATAAAAATCCTTCATCATACATCAACTCCGAATTGTGTTACTTCAAAAACGTGCCACACCACAATGTCTTTTCTCTTTCAATCTCATATAATAATCTCTCGTAATATTAATCTTCTTTTCAAGTTGTTGCTTCCTAATACAAGCTATTGAATGGTCTTGAATACTCGATTAAGGTGCTATTAAATTAAAGGTTTTAGATTTAAATTTTTAATTAATTAAAAATAAATTTTAAAAAAATATTTATTATACCATAACTTATTATTATATGTATTAAACATACTCATTTTATAATTATTTAAATATTAAAAAATGATTTTAAAATACTTTTTTTTGTACCATAACTTATTATTATATGTATTAAATATACTCATTTTATAATTATTTAAATATTAAAAAATAATTTTGAGATACTCTTTTTATATTACTTTTTAATACAATTTGATATGTCATTTAAATAATTATTATTTTTTATTTATGTAAGATTCGTAATATTAAATGTATTCGCTTATTTAATAATATATAAAAATTATATTAAAAAAT